TACTTGTTATTATATGTCGATGACATATTTATTGATGCAAAAGACATGTCAAAAAATCAACAAGTTAAAATCTCAGTTGAATACTGAATTTGAGATGAAAGATCTCGGTGCAACGAAGAAGATTTTGGGCTTGGAAATTCAGAGGGATCGTTAAGCTGGCAGGTTGAGTTTGTCACAGAAGAGTTATATTGAGAAAGTAATTGAGTGGTTCAACATGCAGAATTCCAAGCCTATGAGCACACCATTTGCTGCTCATTTTTGTCTTTCTACAGCTTTGTCATAGCAGTTCAAAAAGGAGAAGGAGCACATGTCACGTGTTCCTTATGCTAGTGCAGTTAGTAACTTGATGTATGCAATGCTTTGCACTCGCCCTGATATTTCACACGCAGTCAGTGTATTTAGTACATATATGGATAATCCAGGAAAAGAACATTGGCTAGCCATGAAGTGGATTCTTCGGTATTTGAAAGGTACTGCAGATTTTGGCTTAGTTTATTAGAGGAGCAGTGATGTTTTTGGCGGTGTTGTTGGTTTTGTGGATTCCGATTATGCTGGTGATTTAGACAGAAAAAGATCTCTGACATGATACGTTTTTACTCTCTCAGGTTGTGCAGTTAGTTGGAAAGCAACTTTGCAATCCACAGTTGTTCTCTCTACTACAGAAGTAGAATATATAGCGGCCACTGAAGTAGTGAAGGAAGTCATTTGGTTGAGAGGTTTGGTTAGTGATTTGGGTTTGTAGCAAAGTTTAACAGTTATTTATTGTGATAGTCAGAGTGCGATATATTTGACCAAAAATCAAATATATCACCAAAGAACCAAACACATTAATGTCAGATATCATTTTATTCGGGATGTCATATCAGAAGGAATTACTACAATGTAGAAAATTGGCACAGCTGAAAATTCGGCGGATATGATAACAAAGTCTATTCCGGCTCTCAAGTTCAATTATTACTTGGACTTGGTTGGTATTCTCAAATGTTGAAATTGCCCTTAGGGGCTTTGTGGAGAAGACAGCTTGTTTTGCAGAGATATAGTGGCTCATTTGAATTTTCGCTAAGGTGGAGATTTGTTGAATATTGTGGCTCAATTTCATCCCCTTTTACATCAGCACCACAACATCACGCATGACATCATCAGCTTGTCCTCCAAGGTGCTTAATCAGCAAGCTATGGAGATGTTTTCTTTGTGTGCTAGCTATCCATGCATGGTCACCAAGTTAAAGCAGCCTCTGAGGTGATCAGCAAACATTGTTTTGGCAACCCATTTTTTGGCTATTAATAGCCTTGCTCTCCATGGTGTTGAAGCATCCAAAAATCATCCAACAATTGAGTATGAATTTGCTTAGTAAAGAAAAGTAAAGTGTGTGAGAGTTTGGGTGTAATTTGGGTTTTGGGTATGAGCCACTTAGCCTTGTATCTTTTTATTTCTATAGTGAAATATTGATCTGTCTTTTCCCCGTGGACGTACGCATAGCCGAACCACGTAAATTCTTGTCTCATTTATGTGTGTATTATCTTATTTTATTTATTTTTTCTTGTCATTTATATTTCTCTTTGTTCTCATAAACTTCTTTTCGATCCTTATTTTATAATTGCTCTCTCCAAGATGTTGGCATACTTTTTTAAAAAATATTTAGATTTTTTATACTTTTCAAAATAATTTTACTCACAGTGTCTGTGCATCTTCACAGCAGAGTTTTTAAGAGATATGCCATTCAAAGCATTGTTTTCTCAGAAAACTACTAAGTTTTATTTTTAAAATTTTTTAAATAGTATATACAATTAAGTTTGGATTTTTCAAAAAAATTAAGAGTAACTGTGAAATAATTTAAAATATTTTATTTAAATTTAATAAGTGTGCAAATATTTTAGGGTATTCCAAAAAAGATGGACTAAATTGAGACTAATACAAGTATAATTAAGCTCCCTGATCTATATCCTTTTAGTTTAAAGATACAGGCCAGTAGGCCCAGTACAAAAAGAAATAAGATCAAAGGCAGCTTCCAGGAAATTTCATGCCATGGTTGGTGAAGACTTTGACATACAGATGTTAGCCCTTCTCTGCTAAGTTTGGTTTTTAGTGGATCCAGCGGCAATCTTTCTGCCTTATTATGGTTTCTTGTGGACATAGAGAGAGAAGGAAGAGAGAGAATAAGGAGGTTAGGGGAGAGAGAATTTGCTCTAAAAATTTTAAGGCAGCGTTTTAGCATTATTATTATTATTATTATTATTATTTTAACTCAACCCTTTAAATGATCTGACTTACTTTTTAGTTGAAGTGGCTACAATGAACTAAATATCTAAAGATGATAAATTACAATAAAATGAAATCTTGGTTGGTATTAACTTCTTTTAAGGCTCAAAATTTTGGCTTACTTTGTTTTTCTTCATTTTCTTGCTTACCAAACATATATCTTGTTTAGTTTTCACGTGACTGTATTTTTGTTATGCACATTCACGAATGCATGACATGATTGACGTCCGCATGATTGGTCTTAGAAGGAAGAGAGAGAATCAGGAGGCTTGGGGAGGGATGGCAACGAGCAAGTATGGAGCAAGTTTGCCTAAATCCATATCCGTTCCATTTAATTATCAACAAAATCATACATGTCCCATACATTTTAATTTCGCAATCCATACCCGCCATGTTAAGAAATGAGTGTACTCGTGTCCGCCCAACTCACCCCGCCACATTTACGGGTGTTTTTTTTTTTTTTTTTTTTATCTATATAAATTAATTGATAAGATTTATAAATTCTATACAATGTAAATAATTATACATATACATCTATAACAAATATATATATATATATATATATATATATATAATATTTTTTAAAATAAATTATAAAGAGTGGGCGGAACGAATGTTTCTCAAAACCCATACCCATCCCGTAACTTGTGACGGGTTTAAAATCTAAATCCATAGCCGTAGGCCCATGCGGTACATAAATAGTTCCCATACCCGTGTCATTAGGAATGGAACCTAAGTCACACAGAGCGAGTGGAAGGAGCGAAAGCGAGGGTGAGAGCGTGAAAATGTCAAAGTCTAAATTTTTTGAAAGCAAGTATGTCTAGGTTTAAATAGAATTATATCAGTTAATAACATATAAATTTTTTATTTTTTATTTATGTAAATCTATATGCAAATATATTCATTAATATTTATTCCATTAATGATATATGTAATAAATAAGTAACTTTTTTCCCTAATAGATGCATTGCTTAATTAGTGCTTGTTTATTTGTAATATTCTCCACTTGGAAAGTTTTTTACTGGCGTACTTTCAAACATGTACAATTAGTGTGTATATATATATCTATATATAGCAATGCCATACACGTGGGCCAACAGGAGTTTAAGTAATTAATGTATATATTTAGTAGAGTAATGCTACTATGAGGTCTTCCTCGTGAGATTTTCTCTTCCTTTTTTTGTTATGATTATGTAGCAATATTGAAGCATGAACCCAACCACTTGAAAGGGGACTAAAAGAGAATTATATAATTAAAATTTTGTTCAAAAATTCATTAACAATTTATCACATTTGTAGGTCAAAATTGTACACTCTTTTTCTTGTCTAAATTACATTTTTAACTTTGACCAACTCGTGTGATTTGTTAACATTAAATTTTTGAATGAAAGTTTAACTATATAATCCTCGTTTAGTCCTTATAGTAGCATTACTCTAAATAGACTTATAGTGTAAGTAATTAAAGCATATATGATAATATAGGTGTGTCATATAACTTGTATGGTAACTAATTTAGCTGTATAAAGTGAATTAGTATGGAAACTGCGAGTTAAGAAAACAAATTGGATTTTGTACAAATTCACTCTCAAATTACAAAAATTGAACGGAACTCCAACTGGGCGGTACAAATTTCCATTCCTAGTTTAGGCCGAACTCTCATTATGCAGTTTGAGAGTTAGAGGAAATATGATTGGGTTACAAGATTCTTGTTTTTCTTTTTCTTTTTTCTTTTTTTTTTTTTAATTTTATTTAAACGTCAACTTTTTAAATGATTGGACTCTTCTTCTTTTTAAATTGACGTCCCAAAAAAGATTACGATCAAAGGCAGCTTCCCAGTAAATTTGATGCGATGGTAGATGAAGACTTTGACATTAAGATATTGACGATTGTTAGCTCTTTCTCGAAGTTTGTTGGCATAGGTTTCTTCAAAAAATATTTGAATTTTTTATACTTTCTAAAATGACTTATAACCAATAATCAAATTTCCCTTGGTGGTTCAAAACAAGATCAGTGAAAAAAAAAAAAAAAACCAAATCTCTTGTTCCCCTGAGATTGACGAGCCAAGATCTATGGAAAGAAAGCCAGTCTCATGTTCCCCTGGGATTCACGAGCCTTCACCCCATCAAAGAACAATGATAAAACTCGAGTTCCAATAATCTTTAAAGGCGTCAGATCTATCTTCAAGGGGTTCGTTATATCCATTTTGATCGCCTTTTCGTGTTCATTTAGTGTACTGTTTATCCATCACAAACGGATTTTGCTCTGTTTCTCCATGGTTTCAATTATAAGCGCGATCCTGCTACTATTTTGTGCCATGTATTCAGAATTCTCACGTTCGTCGGCGGTTTTATCCATTCTGGTCGTATTTCTGTCTGCAGTGTTTATCCGTCACGGGACAAAGTGAAACTACGATTTCATTAGTAAGTGCGTTCATAATGTTAGAGCTCACATAATCCGGTTCCGGAAGTGGGTGCGTTTGCGGGATCGATCTCGGGGTAGGGAGCTGGAGCGGGAGCGTTTGCGGGATCGATCTCGTGGTCAGGATCGGAAGCTTGAGCGGGAGGGTTTGCGGGATCGACCTCGGGGTCGGGATCGGGAGCTGCAACTGGAGCGGGAGTGTTTGCAGGATCGATCTCGGGGTTGGGATCAGGAGCTAGAGCGGGAGCGTTTGCGGGATGGATCTCGATCTCGAGATGGGTCTCGATCTCGATCTCTAGATGGATCTCGATCTCGGGATGGATCTAGATCTCGATCTCGGGATGGGTCTCGATCTTGAACTCGGGATGAATATCGAGGTAGGGATCGGGAGCTGGAGTTGGAGCTGGAGCAGGATCGATCTCGGGATGGATCTCGATCTCGATCTCAGGATGGGTCTCAATCTCGAGGTCGAGATCAGGAGCTGGAGCGGGAGCTTTTGCGAGATGGATCTTGATCTCGATCTCGGGGTCGGGATCAGGATCAAGAGCTGCAGCTAAAGCGGGAGTGTTTGAGGGATCGATCTCGAGATGGATTTCGATCTCGATCTCGATCTCGGGATGGGTATCAATCTCGATCTCGGGGTCGTGATCGGGAGCGATCTCGAGATGGGTCTCGATCTCGATCTCAGGATGGATCTCGAGGTCGGGGTCGGGAGCTGGAGCTGGAGCTGGAGCTGGAGCGTTTGTGGGATCAATCTCGGGATGGATCTCGATCTCGATCTCAGGATGGGTCTCGATCTCGGGGTCGGGATCAGGAGTTGGAGCAGGAGCGTTTGCGGGATGGATCTCGATCTCGATCTCGATCTCGGGATGGATCTCGATCTCGGGAGCGACAGCCCGATTGGAAGCTGGAGACGGAGTGGAAGCGTTTGCGGGATCAATCTCGGGGTCGGGGTCAGGATCGAGAGCTACAGCTAGAGCGGGAGTGTTTGCGGGATCGATCTCGGGATGGATCTCGGGGTCGGGATCGGGAGCAATCTCGGGATGGGTCTCGATCTCGATCTTGATCTCTGGATGGATCTCGGGGTCGGGATCAAGAGCGGGAGCATTTGCAGAATCGATCTCGATCTCGGGATGGGTCTCGATCTCGATCTCGATCTCAATCTTGAGATCGATCTCGGAAGCGGAAGCCGAAAAGATATGCTACATTTTGTGTTGTAGAAGTTTAATATTTTGTTTACTTTTTTGTATTTCTGTGAATGGTTGTAGAATTTTAATGTGTTCATTTTTTTTTTTCTGTATTTCAGTGAATTGATGCCAAGAACAATTGCTAATTAAGATTACAGGATCCATCATTACTATACACCTCTATTCTCACCGAATCCAACAATTATTCATGGAACTTCAATTTCAAACTGATTTCCTAAACTAAATATATATATCACCTAATTTGGTTCGGCTTAATGTTGATGTTGGTGATTCTTCCTATATCCAGAAAATTCTTGAAGTAACGAACTCATCTATTGTTTTCGTCACATAGCAAATTGTGATACTGCTCTAAAAAAGTTTCATTTTTTAGGGACAATTCTAATCGGTGGTGTGAGAGTCTCTTTTATTATTTATTTATTTATTTATTTATTATCCCGTCAGCTTTGTACAAAACAGAAAATGATCAACAGAGTAACTCACAGTTCCTTTGCAAATTGTGTCATTCAATTATGCCACCCAATATGCAGGTAAAAAGCCAAGAATAATTGTGATTTGGATTTTTCTATTGTTTTCATAAAAAACACAATTTTTCCCGCATATGGTATGATAATTAAATCTCTTTCAATTTATTCATGACTGTCAAAGTTCTATACTAAGTAAATGGATGTGGCTCCTTGTTGTAATTGCATTTTGCTGCTAATAAAATCTTGCTATAAGTAAAACCTTCCCTATTCTAGGGCTAATTAACATTGAATTTGAGTGGGGGTTAATTTTGTTACATTTTTCTTTTTTAAAAAATGAATAAGATAGACTCGTGATCTCCACGTCCAACCTCATCCATAGCAATGATAGATAAGGCATGGCCAATTTTGGGCAATCGTGTTGGTGACAATTCCTATAAGCAATATGGGAGCAAGGGTGATCAATTACTGAGATTGTTTGTGCACGGCCCAAAACGTTATTTTATCATCCCTATATAAATTCAATTTATTATCAAGTGGTCTAATTATGCTTTCCTGATATGTGAGTGTGTGAATCTAAGTACACAATCCTTTTTAATGGGTGTCGCTCCCACGTTCTAAGCGCGTTCCTATTTTTATGTTCCTTATTACTTAATTCTGCTACACTTACGCTCCCACTCTCAAATTTGCTTTCGTTCTCAGTGTAACTTAAAATATGAATGTATATATATATTGATAAGTATAATGTTCTTTAACTATTTAGGGATAGGGAATACAAATTGGGCTGCTTAAATGATGGTCTCCATTCGGTTATTTGAGATGATAAGTTGCATGACAGGAAAGGAGATCATGGACCAAATCCAGAGCTTTTATTTAACAAGCTTATAGCTGAATAGAGTGCGCTAGAGTCTAGACTAGTCCTTTTTCTATATGTATGACTACTGATCAGACCAGGGCTCAAGCGCTTAATAATGGTTTCAATTTCTAAACAGCTTCACTGAGTTTTACCTCTTACCTTGTTAACAAATACAATATTTAATTTAATTGGCAGCCAATAATTATGACACCAAGTCCATTAATAGAGTCAGTCAGGAGTTTTGGGAATCCAAAATAAATTTTATTTTAATAAAACATTTTTACCCATTTACGCCGTAGAAAAACAAAGCTCTTGTAAGGATTTTTTTTTTTTTTTTTTTTCAAAATCTACACACACCCTTTCTCTCTCGGGAAAACAAACCAACATCCCAAGCAAATCTTTCTCAGGACTTGGTTAATGCTATTATGTAAGTATATCTTTTCCATTTTTCTCCTGGTATAAAATTCGTTTTTTTACATGCATATACATGTGTGTTATTTTATTTATTTATTTTTATTTTTTTGTGCCTCTCGTAAGTAAGTGGTAATTACATGTTTGTGTGTTTTTTTGTTTTAAAGGTACACATGTTTGTGCGTGTGTGTGCGTTTTTGTTTTAAAGGTACATGTTTGTGTGTTGCTCAGTTGTGAATGGGCAAAAATACTGTGTATTCCATTTTAGCGCTGTATCAAGTCAAAACCGTGTTAAATCGTCACAATAGGTGCTGTTAAATTATTTGAATGGATCCTCTCCAAGAAAATTTCTCTCCTAGCATCTCCAAGGATTTAATCCAATGACTGTTATAGCGCCACACCACCATCTTACTATTCCCACATTAATTTACCAAAACTTAATTAAATATGATATCTTTTGGAATCCTTAATCACGGATTAGGAAAATATTTTAAAACACAACAACTAACCTTAATAGTATCATCAACATCAAATTAAATGTATGATATAGAAAAAATATTTCTGTTACAAAATATTTATTTATTTGTAACAGAAATATAATATTTATTTTATATGTATTTATTAAATTATTATATAAGCAAAACAATATTAGCACCAATTTTAATTAAAAAGGCAAACGTGTGTATGCGAATGTACATACAAGCATATATACATACCCAACAACTAGAGAGAGAAACAGCGCCCTCCACCAAACTGCCTCTGCCGCACCAAACTAACACGTCGCCTTCTGCCTCACCTCACGCATATAAGCGGCAAGGATCCGAGTCAAATAGCAACATCCGTGGATCTTTACTATGGAGTCTCTGTTGTGCAGTCGTCTAGAGAGAAGAAGAGGTCAGTTATGGACCTATGGAGTCGTGTATGGAAATTTTAGCGCTAAAAAGTAAAATGAGCATGATGGAAAATCAGCCGTAATTATTATCATGGAATCCAAAAGATATTATATTTAATTAAGTTTTGGTAAATTAATGTGGAAATGGTAGAATGGTAATGTGGCGCTATAACAGCAATATGATTAAATCCTTAGAGATGCTAAGAGAGGAATTCCCTTGAGATGATCCATTCCCTAAATTATTACATAATATATTCCGTCCTGATAGGTGAAGAATAGGACATCCAAGAAAAAGAGAGAACAGGATGTATTTGGAAGTTTGGAATTATGTAAAGTTAGCATAATTTAAGGGTTAATTAATTAATCACATACTTACGTTGCATAAATAGATTATATTAATTGTTAATTGAAGCCACCCACCAGATCATGCGATTTGTTAAAATAATAGCCGACAATATCACTAGTAAAACACTGAACACTTCCGAGAGAGAGGCATATGTGGAACAGGTGTATCTGGCAGACATATCCTTCCAGCTTCCTGGCCGGCCATTTCAATAAGGCGTCCGGAGGAAAAATAAATAAATTAAAAATAGAGTAGTTGTCCCGTCCATTTTATACGGTATATTATAATTATTTGGAAAGAAATACCATCATGAGGTCTATTTTCAAGACTTTCTTCATAAGTTTTATATCTTTATGTTATGATAATATATTAATATACAAATATTGAGACGCCGACCCTACAATTTGAAATAGAATTTTATGAAATTTATATAATAAAAATTTTGCCATACGACCTTTTTATGTTTAAGAGTCGGACACGTTCGAATAAACTTATGTACGTGTGAAATGATGTTATAGGTCTTTTGTATGCCTTATCATTATTCTAATTGTAATTTTTTTTTTATTCTCTTCAGTTGTAAATAGCATTGAGGTCATTCAATATCATTAGAGCAACTACAATGGTGTGTTAAATAGGCTGTCAATTTCAAAATATAATGGGTAAGTTTAAAATAGACTCTCCAATAAACTGTCAAATGAGTTGCTAAAATATAACTTTATAACTTTGCCAAATTTTGTCTTCCTTCTTTCTTCTCTCCCGCATCCCTCATGTATATATGTGGAGGGTTTGGATTTTCCTCTCTATCTGTCCTTTCTCTATCTTTCCCATCTTGGATTTTCCTCTCTATCTCTTGGATCTTCACTCGGGTAAGCCTTTCTCTTCCCTCGTGTATATATGTGGGGGGTTTGGATTCTTAAAAATCTGAAATTGGGAGTTTGGGTTTTTAGGTTGATATATATTTGTTATGCTTTGTTGTAGTCTGACATGCCGACGGTGACGATGAATTTCAGAATTTCCCCTTTCTCTCTCTAAAAAACTTCATCGACATACCTCCAATTTCAAAAAAACTTTGGTGCCTCGCCGGTCCGACATCAGTGCCATCGCTGCCCGAGAGCTCGTCACCACAATGCCTCGCCGATCCAACATCACTGCCGTCGTTTCCTTTGCTGTCCAAGAGCTCGTCACCAAGAAAACTTTGGTGTTGGGTTGTGCTTGTGTGTATATATATGCCATTGTTGGTATACATGTATGTGTTTATATATATATATGTATGTATGTATGTGAATCCAAAAGCTGTCTAAATTTCAAGACTCACTTGGATTTGATGATTATTATTATTTTTATTTATTTTTAATAAGGCAAATAAGCTAAATAAAATACAAACACTCACAAAAAAGAAAAAAAAAATGGTTGAAAATTGGTAGTTGGAAATGGTAGTTGAAAAATAATGATAATTGTGTCAAAAAATAACATTTTAAATGAAATGCACCCCATTAGAGCAGAATTGCTAAAATATAACCGCATTTTAAATGAAATGCACCCCATTAGAGCAGAATTGCTAAAATATAACCGCATTTTAAATGAAATGCACCCCATTGGAGTAGAATTGCTAAAATATAACATTTTGACACTATAGCTTATCTCAAAATATAGATTTGACATGCAAAAATGACAGTTTGCATAGGAGATGGTCTTTGAATAGTCCATTATAATGTTTTTTTTTTTTTTTTTCCCTTGGGAGTCCATCTTTAGATTAATCGCAAAGTAACAGCAACAACAACAATATAATAAGTTGGGATGAATATTAGTGTTAACATTTGCATGATTCATATTTCAACAATATAACAGTTGAATTGTCTGGCTATAATTTGTCATGCATGTCAAAAACATCAAATTGATCAGAGATACACAATTGTTCATCAATATCGCACATTAAACTAGAAGAATACAAATTCAAAAATGGCATCTTTCTTCTTATATTTTACGGACATGGTCTTTAAATAAAATTATGTAATAGATTTTAGATTTACAAATTCTGCACCGAGATTTAAGATGATAGACGCTCACAATTTTTTATAAGAATAAAACCCGCTCATAAATTAAAAAATGAATCCAATCAAACCATAAATGAAATATAAGAATAAAACTCAAATCCAATTAAACGTTGCTGGAGCCATATTGGGTCTGATTGGAAGCCTTATTGAGTCCCTGTTTGAAATAAGGATAAAGTCCTAACTCTCTATTATGGTAGTAAAAATAGATTTGAGTCCAATTCCTTTTTCTCAATATAATGAATGAGTCCACATATAATATTTATAGGTTGACTATCAGTCCCACCTAATAATTTAGACTTTTGAGTTAAATCGCAAAGTACCCACTTTTTACACTTTAAAAAAATAAATTTGAATTTGAGAGTCGGTAAGGTGTTATTTTTTATTAATAACTATTTTGTAAATAGTAGAAACTCTAATAATAAGTCAACAAAAATTTTGTAGCTTCAATTGGGTAAGCCTTTAAATTGGTTAGCTCAACTAATTTTAAAAGAATTTTCTTGAATTTCAATACTACATTAAACAAATATTCATAAAATTTTCAATTATATGTCTATTTGTTTTTCTTTTCTTTTTTTTCTTTTTTTTTTTTCAGCAGGTTTCATGTGACCATTTTTGCTCAAAATTTAATTGGAAATCTTTATATAGATTGGGGAATAACTTTTTTATTTAGGCTACGTTTGTTTCGGCGTAAAATATTTTTTTTGGGAAAAAATTTATTTTTTTAGGTAAAATATATTTTTATTTTTACTTATTCAGTGTTTGGCAGAGGTCTAGGTCGAGGTTGAAGTTGAGTCCATCGGACGGGACGAATAAAATAACTTATTGAAAATTGATGCGTAAGTTATATTCAATAGATTTTAATATTTTCGTAAATATTTTATGACAACCAAATATCAGAAAATAAAAAAATATTTTACACCCAAATAAACGAGCCTTAGTCAAAAATAATTTTATGAAACCTCTTAAACACTCCATAATCTATCATATGACAAATTCGTAAGATTCATTGAAGACGGTGTCATGAAAATTTACAAACTCTAAAACTTCCTGTGTGTGAAGTGAGAGATAGGGGAATTAATTGAATCCATATATTTCAAAAGTGTGTCCATCAAACAAGCTGACTAAGGAGAATCATTTTTAAAGATTTTTTTTTTCTTTTTTTAAATAATTTTATTTAAATAGTCAATGCAGGTGGCCAGTTCTCCACGAATTATAAAGTCCAGTGTTGACTTATCACGCGCATTAAAGTACTTAGATACCTAGTGTCGATGCCAAAAATCTACACTTTCCGGAGCCTTTTTTTTTTTCCACGATTCCTGCAAGACAAGAGAAGTGATGACCGGCGTGGTGCCGGCCGGGTGCACTCCGACAGTCAAGTTAGTACTTAACGATTAAAATATCCGATAAGGATTCCATATGAAATTAATGGCGTACCTTTTTAGGTTGACTGATCTTTTCTTTTATAGAAGCATTAATGGTAGTAGTTGTTGAAGCGAGATTCTACCTGATCTAATATGATATCGTTCCCTTCTTACAGGAATGGTAACTCTGGTTACATATGGTAACCAGATATTTTTTATCTTATTTTCTTTTGACTTTGAGTTGCCTATTATTTTTTGAGTTGCTTATTATTTTTATCCTTATTAGTTGCCCCCCATTCTCGTTCTTGCTTGTCAAGTATCGAGAATGTCAAAAGTGTTTTTTAGTGACGTCTCTTTGGCATAAATCAATCTCTTTTTAGGTTAACCCTCGTTGGGCGACCTTTTTTTGGTTGATCTCTTAAGATTTGCCCGAACTTCATGAGCTGAGGGAGTAAGCTTTCTTAAGTTGAAAGAGCTTACCTTTTTTTAAAAAAAAGGAAGTATATTTACGAGCTTTACTCAGCTTGCTCCTTAAAAAGGAAAATATATTTTACTGAGCTTCACTTAGCTCGCCCTTTAAAAAGGGAAGTATATTTTACAAGTTGATTTCAACCCCTTTTAATACGGAGGACAATAATTACGAGCTTCATTCAGCTCGAGCCCTTATAGTATGGGGCACTTTTATATCAATTCCTTATAATACGGGGATGGTAATTACAAGCTTTCATTCAACTCGCCCTTTAAAAAGGAAAATATATTTTACGAGCTTCACTCAGCTCGCCCTTTATAAAGGGAAGTATATTTTACAAGTTGATTTCAACCTCTTTTAATACGGAGGACAACAATTACGAGCTTCATTCAGCTCGAGGACAACAATTACGAGCTTCATTCAGCTCGGGCCCTTATAGTACAGGGCGCTTTTATATCAATCCCTTATAATACAGGGAATGGCAATTACGAGCTTCATGAACTTATCCTTTTAATATGGAAAGTTCATCCTCGTGAGTAACTGATTTTCCAGAGTTTCGTGAGCTCGTATCTTTAATAAGAGAGGTTAACTTTCTGCCCCCATTCCCAAGCTTGCCTCTCACGCACAAGGAATACTAATGTTCTATTTTTATTTGCAAAATTAGCAAAGCAAAAATAAAAAGACAGATGTATAGTTTGAACGGATAATATATATACATGTATATATATATATTAGAATTGGTACAATTAAGGCAAAAACTTATCATTGAGCATCATAGGACCAAAATCATCAATGGAGCTAGCGATTGTTCTCTAGAGTAAGAAACTTTTTTTTTTTTTTTTTTTTAACCCTGTGAACAGTACCCTCGGGTACTATTCATGTGAATAGTACTCACAAAATAAATTTTTTTTTTTTCTACACCTTGTGAACAGTACCTGCGGGTACTAATTCCCACTGGTACTATTCATGTGAATAGTACTCACAAAATAATTATTTTTTATTTTTTATTTTTGTGAATAGTAGTATTTTATCGAAGGGTCCCCAGGTGAACTGCATCATTATGTAGGTGAACAATATTTTGCAGACAATTGAAAACACATAAAAAATTGTTTCTTTTTAAATCATGTGAGGAAGTGTACACATATATTTTGATATACGCGTAATGCATGAAACTTACCCGGTTAAGAGCGATGATGAAACAACTGCTAACGGTCGGGCGGGGCTTTCCAATAATTTTACCGGATTGAGCAACTGTACCTTTACTTTTGGCCATGCAATCCATGAACTGTTCTCTTTCTTTTAGAGAAAGCTAGATTGTAAAGGGACTGAATTGCTTTTAAGTTTTGTCGTAGATTTCCCTTATACGAACCATGATTTGTTGGGACTAATATACGTTCCCACAGACGGCGCCAACTGTTGATGTCAAAAATCTACGCTCCGGAGCCCGTGATGATTCCTGCAAGACAAAAGAAATGATAACTAGCGTGGTGCCGACGGGGTGCACTCCGACGGTCAAGTTAGTACTCGACGATTAAAATATCCAATAAGGATTCCATATGAAATTTATGGCCTACCTTTTTAGGTTGACTGATCCTTTTTTTTATAGAAGCATTAATGGTAGTAGTTGTTGAAGCGAGATTCTCCCTGATCCAAGATGATATCGTTCCCTTCTTACAGGAATAGTAACTCTAGTTACATATGGTAATCAGATATTTTTTATGATTCCATAGAGATTTTGGGTAAGATAAATCCCTTACCCTTATCTTATTTATCTTTTGACTTTGAGTTGCCTATTATTTTTATCTTTATCACCTAGGAAAAGAAATCGTACTCCAATTAGGACTAGAGGAATGAGAACCAATTTTGGACTTGTGTGTAGTAATAACTTTGACAAAATAAAAATATAAAATGTAATGTGAGCAGAGATGAGTGTTTTTTTTTTTTTTTTAATTTTTTTTATTTGATAAATTAGCAAGAAATGATTCAAACACCTAAACATTTTGAGAGTTGGACAATTTATTAATTTAGCCACTGAATAATGCTCAATAAATAAGTTATGTACGGATGCATTTTATAATAATGAACAATGAATAATGAAACATGGATTAAATTACAAAATAATAATAATAATAATAAAATTCCTTAAACTCCTAATTCTGCTAGAAACCCCCTCTATTTATTATTATTATTATTATTATTATTATTATTATTTTCAAACCTTGCAATTCAACCTTTGCCATATACTAACCGTTGAAAAAAACAATTAAAAAGTGATCTATCTAACTATGAAATCACTATTATCCCTTTCTTATTGACTAAAATACTATTACATCCTAATTTTTGATCTAT